CGTGTCTCCTTGTAGACGTAGACGCACTCATCCTGTCGCAGTCGACGACATTGCATGATGTCACGCAAATACTTATCAAGTTCGAGATACCAGGCACGGGATGCCTGCTTCAGGCCATACACTGCCTTGTTCAGCTTGGCATACTCACAGCCACCGAGTCCAGCCTCCAGACCACGAGGGACTCGGATGTAGATGTCCTCATCAAGTGGCGCGTGCAAGAACGCCGTCTTGACATCCACCTGATGCACATGATAATGCTGGTAAGTAGCAAGCGCCATCAATGTGCGGACGGTCGTCATGTTTACCGTCGGCGAATACGTTTCATCGTAATTGACGCCTTCGCGCTGCTTGAAACCTTTGGCAACGATCCTGGCCTTGTAGCGGCCATCTTGCTTGATGTCAAATACCACTCGCAGATCGAGCAATGCAGCGTTGGGCTTCTGGTCAAGTCCAGTCATGACTTGATGTTCCTGAAACGAAGCAATCTCATCGTCCAGAGCGCGCTGCCATGCTGCGGCATCTGGGCGAGCCAAGGCCTCCGCTACTGTCTGCGGCATACCAGTTGTGCTGTAGCATACTTCAGCTCGATGACTCTGGAAGCTCGGGTTTGCCTGAGCTTGTCCGGCATTGCTGGCCAATTCGTTGACGTTCAGGCTGGGTTGAATTGCCTTGTTGCGACCACCCGAGGCAGAGCGTCGCTGGGCAACTCGCCCACCAATGCCTGGGGAATTTCCTGACGTTGACGCCAATGGTGCAGCGGGTGAGCCAACCTCAGCATTCACAAGCGGGGCTACCATGGTTTCATCGTCGCTCATTGCTGGACTCGAATTTGGCGAGGCAAATGGAGTGTCAGTCTCCTGGTCATCTGCCTCCAGCACATCTTCAGTCTCCATGCTTGTGTCTTCATCATCCATCTTCTTGCGGTCCTTCGTCTTGCGAGTCATCTTCCTCATGCTTCCAGGTCTGCATCGAGGCGAGTGATGGCAAATCCACATTCTCCCCCTCATCACGAGCATGGGGGCAAAGCTTCAGGTGTACCGTCTCGATCATGCGCCTGGTGTCCAGCATGTAGACTTTGTGTGCCAATTTGGCAGGGGAAAATCCCACGTAGACCCCTTTGCGGGCCTTTGGACCAAACTTTGACCTGCGGTGATCCTTGTCACACACGTATGCATCTGCACCAAACGAGTGCAAATCGAGTAGCGCATGCGGGTTTTTACCATGCAGCAGTTGATAGGCCGACATGTTGTTGTACACGCTCTTGACCTTGATGTTGATCAAGTACTCGGCGTGCTTGGCGGCGAAGCCCCAATAGCCCTGGGGCAGCTTGCTGTCGGCTAGGAGCAGGCCAACCATGTCACGAATCTCACGGAACGCGTTCTCAATCGCTCCATTCATCTGCGGTGTGCGAGGCGGGGAGGCACGCCATGAAATCCCAAGCTCCTTGAGCTTGGTTCGAAACCGCGTGCTGCAGTAAGCGCCATCATTGTCGCTTTGAAAAATTGACCGACGAGCCACATCAGCCTCCTTGATCCTAATAGGGTTAGGGGAATCACGCAACAGACGCTCAAAACTGGAAGTGAGCTCGTCCTTGCTCTTGACCGGGTCCAGGAACAAATAACCCGTGGCCACATCCTTGTAGGCGATGATATACTTGTCACCATACAGCGAAGGTGTCGAAATGGGCCCAAACATGTCCGAGACAATCAGGTCTCCAGGTCGGCGCGGCGTCCTCGGGTGGGCCTTCTTGGGAATGGTCGCCATCTTGGCCTTGAAAAGATGGCACTGTTCGCAGTCGGCAATCTTGCCCGACAATTGCTGCATATCCAAATCCTCATTGCGCAGCATAGCACGCATTGCATCTGCAGGCGGATGGCCCAGGCGACGATGCATCTCCACCATGGCATCAAAAGCCATGTTGGGAACCAGCGTGTAAGTAAACGAGTACAGAGCAAGCCCATTGCGATTGCACTCTGCCTTCCAGACGGCATCGCCCTGCTTCATGACGATGGTCTTGTAATCCGGCATCTTGACGTCCGTTCCGGCTTCACCCAGCTGACGGGTAGAAACCAAGTTGCGCTTAAAACTAGGCACATACAGGGCATTGCGCAGCACCACTTGCACACGCGAACCATCCACGCCATCAACAAACATGCGCGCAGTGCCCACACCTTGGGACAATACCGTGGTCCCGCCCGATTCAATGGGCACCTTGTGGATCATCATGGTCTCAAACAAACGTTCATCGTTGAGGAAGTGGCTGCTGGCACCCGAGTCCACAATAGCCATGCCTTGGTCCGCACGCAGATGAAAATTTGCCTCCTCAGGCCCCTGCAAAACAGATGTATAGGCATGTGCCTGATCATGGCTGTTCTTGCTGCTGTTGCCGCCCTTGGATCCATGCTCCTTGTGCTTGGCCGACCGCCAAGCCTCACAGTCTGCTTTCTTGTGGCCATAGCCCTTGCAGTAGTGACAATTGCCGTTGAACCGGTGCAAGTCCTTGCCCTCCGGCTCATGCTTCCTATTGGATCCACCACTACGTACACCGTGTTTTCCACGACCACGGCCATAATTGCCTTGCCCAGCGTACCTCTGTCG